GATTCAGCAAAGACAGACACGTGACAATTAACAGATGTGCAGTGGTTACTGAATAGTTAATATGGAGCTCATTATCTGACCATTATTGAGTTTATAGTGATAAATGAGTCAGTGACAAAAAGGAAAGTCACTGATTATAATGTGGAATGAATGCTAAAACTTCCTCATTGTTTTTTTTTTTATTACTTTGATTTCACAGTTTATGATATGAATATGTTTTTACAGTTTTTATGAGGAGATGATTGTGGATGTGAAGGCTGATACAAAAATAAATATCTCTAATTATCTACAATCTGAACAGTGAATCCAGTTTTTATTCCTCCTTTAACTCCTCCCTCCTTCATCCTTGGTCTTCTTTGTCTTGTTGCCTCCTTATTAACATTTCAAAGCTTGCTGCCCAGAAATGTGGCCGTCAGTGTGAGGATGGGTGGATTGAGCTGAGTCAGCAGCTGAAGGTCAAAACAGGAAGTTATGTTGCTTCCTAACAGCTGACCAATCACAGGCCTCAAACTGGACAGACGCTCAGACTGGAACAACCTTCGTCTTCCTCTGAGATGCGATTATGGTTAAACCACCATAACACACCCACAACCTCCAATGTTGAACATTCTCGGCCCAGCTTTTAAAAATCCACCCGACAAAGCAGCAGCTTGGTGATCTGTGAATTCAAACAACTCATACGCTTGCTGAGCAGGTTACCTCAGAAGGAACCTTCCTCCTACTTTAGTGTGTGCCTGTCTTTCAGGAACCTGTCTGCAGGTCAGGGTCCCACACAGTCCACTAAGAGTTTCCCACAGGAATGAAACAATCTTTCTCCTGAAGGGTAAACACAAGCTTTAAGCATCACTTGACTAGCATGCAAGCAGAACATGTTTCTGTGACCCACCTCTCCCACAGTGGGTATCAAACCCAGATCAATCAGTCTGTAGCAGCATTAAAAAGGCCAAATGTCTGAAACATCTGAAGCTTCATTCAGTCACTGCTTCAGTACCTGATTCAGTGGCTCATAAGGAAGTGAATCATTGAATCATTGGTGGGGATTTTATGTGAGAGAGAGTGAACCAGTGTGAGAGATAATGAGACATGGAGTAAGTGTTCTGCCTGTTCATAAATAAACATAAAATATAATAACATTATATCTATTATGTTTATATTTTACAGGTTTATAAGTTATTATTCCCCCAGGTCAAAACCATCTATGAAAAATACATATAAGCTATGAAATATATTTAAATCTTCCTGCTCAAAGGTAAACCACACAGCACAAACACACTAATAAAAATAATGGAATGCATTTATATAGCGCGTTTCAGGACCACTACGCATTCATTCTCACACTGGTGGAGGCAGCTACAGGTGTAGCTACAGCTGCCCTGGGGTAGACTGACAGAGGTAAGGCTACCATATCGCACCATCGGCCCCTCTGGCCATCACCAGTAGGTGAAGTGTCTTGCCCAAGGACACAATGACCAAGACTGTCCGAGCCGGGGCTCGAACCGGCAACCTTCCGATTACAAGACGAACACCCAACTCTTGAGCCACGATCACCCCTAACCTATTATATGACTGTTGTATAGGGCTTCATTTAATAATTTTTTCTATCTATTATGTTTTCAAATATTGTGAGGTCACAAGCAAAGGGAGAACACACCAGGGTAAATGAGACAGTGTACAGACTAAAATTATTAATCAAATAGACAATGTGATGTTTTTGTATTGCATATATGGTCAGAAAAGGTCCAATTTCACCTGTAAGCAAGTGCAAGTGACAAATAAAGACTTCATTCATTCACATGCCAATTTTCTTTTCTTTTTTTTAGAACTGACACGTGTCACAGTCTCAGCTCTAAAGAGTGGGCAGTCATGATAGATTCAAGCTGCTGTTCACATTCTGTCCACCAGATGTCACCAAAGAGGACTATGTTGGAAAACCTCGAGTAATGAAGCCTTTTTTAAAATATAAGCTTCAGAAGGTTTCATGTGGACAAAGATATCAAAATGAGGGATGCTGTCAAACTTCAGCGTTACACAGCTGTGTATGTCTAACCAAAATTTGGTTGAATCAGTTCAAGAGAAAAATAAATGGTAAATGGCCTGTATTTGTATAGCGCTTTTCTAGTCCCTAAGGACCCCAAAGCATTTTACACAACCAGTCATCCACCCATTCACACACTGGTGATGGCAGCTACATTGTTGGCACAGCCGCCCTGGGGTGCACTGACAGAGGAGAGGCTGCCAGACACCGGCGCCACCGGGCCCTCTGACCACCACCAGTAGGCAACGGGTGAAGTGTCTTGCCCAAGGACACAACGACCGAGACTGTCCAATCCGGGGCTTGAACCGGCAACCTTCGGATTACAAGGATACCTCCCAACTCTTGAGCCACGATCGAGAGTTGAAATGTTTCACAAGCTCAATCACAAAAGTAACACAGGTCCACCTCAACTTTGAGTCTTGTTTTAAGAAGTACTAAAACGGGGTAAATATAATAAATCAACTTTACATTCATTTTCTTAATTTTTGGAGAAATGGGTGAAACACATTTAGAAAAAGCCTTTTTATATATATTTTTTTAATTTGGCAACAGTTTCACATCTGAATATACAGGGAGTGCAGAATTATTAGGCAAATGAGTATTTTGTCCACATCATCCTCTTCATGCATGTTGTCTTACTCCAAGCTGTATAGGCTCGAAAGCCTACTACCAATTAAGCATATTAGGTGATGTGCATCTCTGTAATGAGAAGGGGTGTGGTCTAATGACATCAACACCCTATATCAGGTGTGCATAATTATTAGGCAACGTCCTTTCCTTTGGCAAAATGGGTCAAAAGAAGGACTTGACAGGCTCAGAAAAGTCAAAAATAGTGAGATATCTTGCAGAGGGATGCAGCAGTCTCAAAATTGCAAAGCTTCTGAAGCGTGAGCATCGAACAATCAAGCGTTTCATTCAAAATAGTCAACAGGGTCGCAAGAAGGTGTGGAAAAACCAAGGCGCAAAATAACTGCCCATGAACTGAGAAAAGTCAAGCGTGCAGCTGCCAAGATGCCACTTGCCACCAGTTTGGCCATATTTCAGAGCTGCAACATCACTGGAGTGCCCAAAAGCACAAGGTGTGCAATACTCAGAGACATGGCCAAGGTAAGAAAGGCTGAAAGACGACCACCACTGAACAAGACACACAAGCTGAAACGTCAAGACTGGGCCAAGAAATATCTCAAGACTGGTTTTTCTAAGGTTTTATGGACTGATGAAATGAGAGTGAGTCTTGATGGGCCAGATGGATGGGCCCGTGGCTGGATTGGTAAAGGGCAGAGAGCTCCAGTCCGACTCAGACGCCAGCAAGGTGGAGGTGGAGTACTGGTTTGGGCTGGTATCATCAAAGATGAGCTTGTGGGGCCTTTTCGGGTTGAGGATGGAGTCAAGCTCAACTCCCAGTCCTACTGCCAGTTTCTGGAAGACACCTTCTTCAAGCAGTGGTACAGGAAGAAGTCTGCATCCTTCAAGAAAAACATGATTTTCATGCAGGACAATGCTCCATCACACGCGTCCAAGTACTCCACAGCGTGGCTGGCAAGAAAGGGTATAAAAGAAGAAAAACTAATGACATGGCCTCCTTGTTCACCTGATCTGAACCCCATTGAGAACCTGTGGTCCATCATCAAATGTGAGATTTACAAGGAGGGAAAACAGTACACCTCTCTGAACAGTGTCTGGGAGGCTGTGGTTGCTGCTGCACGCAATGTTGATGGTGAACAGATCAAAACACTGACAGAAGCCATGGATGGCAGGCTTTTGAGTGTCCTTGCAAAGAAAGGTGGCTATATTGGTCGCTGATTTGTTTTTGTTTTGTTTTTGAATGTCAGGAATGTATATTTGTGAATGTGGAGATGTTATATTGGTTTCACTGGTAAAAATAAATAATTGAAATGGGTATATATTTGTTTTTTGTTAAGTTGCCTAATAATTATGCACAGTAATAGTCACCTGCACACACAGATATCCCCCTAAAATAGCTAAAACTAAAAACAAACTAAAAACTACTTCCAAAAACATTCAGCTTTGATATTAATGAGTTTTTTGGGTTCATTGAGAACATGGTTGTTGTTCTATAATAACATTATTCCTCAAAAATACAACTTGCCTAATTATTCTGCACTCCCTGTAAGGTGCTGTTACAGATTAACTGCCTTAGTGCCAGTGTCAGTGGCACAAGACACCTGCCTGTATTCTTGTTCTGTACAACTTATTTTATATTTTATTAAAAGCAGATTCAGCTAATCTGACAGATTAGCTTCAGAGTTCAGTGAGTCAGTCACAAACAATACATCACCCCTCAAACCAGTTTCTATTCAGCATTACTGCTCTATTGTTCCATAGGGAGGATGTGTGGGGAGAGAAACATTGAGAACCATTCAACCTGACGTGGCAGCAGCAAAGGAAGACTACTGATTCTGAAATATCTCCAAGTTTAAGAACAAATCTACTGACAACAATTTCTGTAAATGTTTTAGTTAAGAGGGTTTCAGTGTAAATGATCACAGAGGCCTCCATTTATAAAATCAATAAATCAGTCTCGTGTTTTGCTCTTAGACAAGCTTCAGTGAATTTAAGTGAGAATAGATAAATTCGTCTGGAAAACTGAACTAACACAAAAAACAGTTCTCTGCCTGCTGTATAATAAAGTACAACTTGCTGACTGATTACATGGAGAAAAAATATCAAAATATGATGCTTTTCCTGCAAAAAGGTTAGCTGGAAGAAGCCTTAAAATTCCCCATCCCACCACTGCTGGAGTTCTCAAGGTGGAAGTTCAACAACAAGTTCAAGTAAAGAGCAGCATCTCCATAACATCTGTTAAAGGCTTTTATGTTGAAAAACCATCCGTCCATTTTCTTGCACTTATCTAATTGAGGGTCTCAGAAGTTGAAGCCTATTAATAGGACTATCAACCACCGGAACCAATAACTAATCAATGAAACATTCTATTTGTTTTTAAACATTCATAAACAGTCAGCCAGGCTTTTCTTCCAAATACTTCCAGCATGCAGATCAGCTGTAAACTTGATACTCTTCTCCATCTTCTGATTGATCGACAAGCTCCACAGTAACGTCACTCTTAACCAAACACACAGATCAAGCTGATTGATCAGCCATCAGAGGAGTCGGATCAATGGAGCTGCTTCTGTTCCTGATGTCCCCTGTTTGATCCTGGACCTGAACTCTCCCTGCAGAGGAGACACAAGACAGTCAGACACTATTCTTCTGAATTTTGTATTGTGACACACACTCACTCTCACACACACATCAAACAAACAATCTAACCTTTGAGAAACAGCATTTTCGTTCTGAGAATTTGACAGCCATGCTTGACTTCACATCTGTATCTCCCACTGTCTTCATCTGTGGGCTCTTGCAGTGTCAGACTGAGGTCTCCAGTTTTTAGAGGGTCTTCATTCATTGATGTTCGGCCTCTGTAAACCTCGTCCTGTTTACCAGGCTGGTCAGATCCTTTCTCATACACGTGGACCTTCCTGTATTCATGTTCACAGTATTCCCACTCTACTGTGGCATCTTCAGGCAGGTTTCCTGTGGTTTTGAAGGGCAGCTGGACAGGCTTCCCCCCCTCCTCCACCTCCACCACACAGTCTGAGAGGAAAACAAACAACATTACCTTTATAGACAGCAGCAGCAGGTGTTCAGAGTTGTAGATAAGGCTGAAGGACAGAAGCAGATCAGAGCAGAAGGTCAAAGCAGCTCTTTAAGCTTGTAGAGATGATCAGATTCTGATGGTGCTGTGATGTTTCTGTCCATGTGCTGCTTCACAATAAAGTTTGCTGTCATCCCTTATTTAGCAGGTTTATCAGAGAAACTCAGGAGAGTCTTCTCCAAGCACGACATCCCAGTGTACTTCAGACCCAGCAACACACTCAGACACAAACTGGTTCATCCCAAAGACAAACTTAACAATGTGGTGTATGCTGTACAGTGCAGCGAGGAATGCCCAGACCTCTACATTGGAGAGACCAAACAGCCACTTCACAAGCGCATGGCACAACACAGAAGAGCCACCTCCACAGGACAAGACTCAGCTGTCCATCTGCATCTAAAGGTTAAAGGTCACTCTTTCGAGGATGCCAATGTTCACATTTTGGACAGACAGGACAGATGGTTTGAAAGAGGAGTGAAAGAAGCCATCTATGTCCACTGTGAGCCACCATCTTTGAACAGAGGGCGGGGCTGTCTTCCATCTATAATGCAGTCTGAGATCTTACCCAGATGCCTCAATACCCACTTACAATCAGATGACCTCAGCAGCCATCAACTGCGCAAGGGTCCATAATTATACAGTTCTGGGGGTCGCTAATGGCACAAAAGCCTGTAAGCTCTCCTTTTGGCAGCCAACCCAGAGGCCAAAGGCACCAGAGTCCGCGATGAAACCGTTTGGGGGGCTGAGCGGCCGTAGGTGAAGCAGCCGCCCCCCGGAGCCGAGGGTGACATGGCAGCCAACTCTGCCCACATCCTCGCCAGAAAAGAGGCAGGCAACAGGAGGTCCAACTGAAGTGGAGATGACAGTAGAGATGTGTGGAGATCAGGGAAATATTTTACTGCTACTATTCCTAACCATCATTACCATTACATTAATTATCATTTCATCAAAGCATTTATTCAATAGATAGTTATGATAGTTATGATTATTACACCTATCACAGAGAGCTTCTGTCTGGTAAAAGGTCAGAAGCATCAACGGGCGGGGTGAGGCCGAGTGCATTCTGAGGTCGAGACACACACACACAAACAGTAGTTAGACTCATGTTTAGGTAAAGGTTCAAATAATAGTTCGCAAAAGCTTGTGATTGCAAAATTGTGTCTGCCTAAGGGACAGTTTGTTCCAGGAGATAAGCGAGAGTTATAGGAAGCACCTGGCCTCGAGACGGAGAAGATGTCCTTTTAAATGTGTCAAAAGTCGTCAACAGAACATTTGTGGCTTTGAAACTTATGCATGTATTGTATCTGCTTCGACGCATGAGGGGGCGTCATAAACAAAACCCCGATGTTATAAAAACAACTGCTTGTGTATCATTGGGCAGAGATCGATGCTGGTGTGTGCAGTGTTCATCTCCCCACATGTGTGTTCATTAAAATCATTTGTTTGTCCGACTCTTCTGGACCATAGTTGTTTTTGTTCTCATCCTCAATATTTGAACCCGTAACAGATGCTACACCAATTAAACAACTTTTCCGAAGTGCTTCAACCACTTGCTGCATAGCTGTTCCACCATCTGAATAATTTCCCTTTGGTGTGTTGCTAGATTCGACATGGTCGGGTTGTATTGTAACGGCGGGGAACACTGGTGTGTTTTTGGAATGGACACAAAATGCGGACATGGGAGAAATAAACTGGTGTTTAAACATAAAGCGAGCCTTTATTATGGCTGATTTAAAAAAAAACCTTGAAAAAAGAAGGTGAGGCGAAACAAGGGTAAAACGAAACTGAAACCTAAACTGGGATAGAACTAAGCTAACTATGAAAACAATGACGAGAGACTTGAACATGAAACTGAAGAGGAACATGCAACAACGTAACTAAGAAATAATCCAAACATGAACCTCAGGAAGCGATAACACTGAGCCGTGACTTGACATGAAGAGAGATGGACAACCTGACAAAGAACAGAAGGAGACATAAACACAGAAGAGGGTAATGAGGGAAGTGGAAACGCCAGGGGATACACAGCTGACACCAATGATCATGATGCCACAGGAAAAAGTAAGTAAAACTGGAAGCACCACTTTGACACATCAAAATAAAACAGGAAACATGGAGAGATGTAGACATGATAACATAAGTTTGACAATTAGAACAAGGAGCTCAAAACCTTACAAAAACATCATTTTTGAGTCATTTTTTACAACATTTAGTAAAATATTTGAAACTTTTCATATGTGAAACACAATTTTAAATGTTAAATCTAAATATTAAATGTTAAATCAAAATGTCATATTTAAATCTAAATCTAAATGTTAAACGTTGTAATGTTTTGAGCTAAATGTGGAAAAATGCTGCCGTTAATTTCAGCATGTTTCACTTTACATGTTTTCACTTTAAAGGGCAGATTACACAAAGGACAGGGAAATACTCATAAATCAGGAGACATAGAAGAAACCATCTAAACAAAACAATGACAGAAAAGCCTAGCTGCAAATTTCTTTAGATAATAAACTCCATCCATCCATCCATTCGCTTCAACATGTGGACGTACACTTCTTTGTTGCCGCTGTTGACAGTTGCAGCTTTTTAGTGGATGTGAATGTTATTATTGTAACTGCCGCAAATTTCTTTATTCTGCCCTCAAAGGGATTCCGATGTTAAACATTTGTTCCACATGACTTTTCTACCAGGTAACTTGCGCCCCACCTGTCAGAAGTCTGCACCCCACCAGTGGGGGCGCACCACACAATTTTAGGACCACTGAACTAGACATAAACTCAACTAAATCCTAACTAATAATCATAACAGAAGAATTTAATATTATCACAAACTTAACATAAGAAAATTAAAAATATAAAAAAAAACCTCAAATGTAGGTTACAGCTAGCCTCTGACCTTTGACCTGTATCTACAGCACTGACCTCTGACTTTCAGCTCCACTTTTCTCTTCAGCAGGATGTTTCCCTCCCTGCTGTAGACGGTGCAGGTGTAGATACCTGTGTTTCCATCTGTGGGGTGTTTCAGGGTCAGACTGAATTCTCCAGTTTTCAGCAGGTCTTTGTTCATCTCAGTTCGTTCTCTGTATATCTTGTGCTGTTCTTCAGGCTGGTCAGAGCCGTTCTTATACACGTGGACCTTTGTATTGTACATGTTTGTCCACTCAATAGTAGCATTGTCAGGTAAGTCAAGTTTTGAAGAGGTTTTGCAGGGCAGCTGGACAGACTCCTCCCCTGAATCCACCTCCACCTGGGGGACTGAGAGGACAACAGAACACAACATGAGCTGTACAGACATCAGCAGCAGAACGGAGTACATTTTCTTTAACTGCATGAAGTGAAAGATAAAAAATTATCTTTTTATCCATCTATCTTCTTCTACTTATCCAGGACCAGGGGGCATCAGCAGAGAAGCCCAGACCTCCCTATCCCCAGTCACCTCCTCCAGCTTGTCTGGGGGAACACCAAAGCATTCCAGGGCCAGCCGAGAGATATAATCTCTCTAGGTCTGCCCCGGGGCCACCTCCCAACCAGGAGGTGCCCAGGAGGCATCCTTGTCAGCAATGCTCCCTCTAAGCTGCGCACGTCTGCAATTGTGCACTGCTGACACGTCTCTGCGCACAGCAAATCAGCGTTGTGCACAAAAAAAAAATCTAACCTGAATTGAAATTAAAATTAAAACTTTAACAATTCTGTTTTGCAGTGTTAGTCAGTGACTGGCTGCTCCCGTATGGGATTAGAACGATGCCACCTTATCCCATAGTCCAGCCAATAATGCGATTCACATTCGTATATACGCAGCTAATCAACGTGGTTGACAGGCTATGACAGCGTCCTTATGTGCCGACACCGGTGTTTTAGCTAGCAAAGCGGCTGATGTGGAGTGAAGCCACGTTAATGACAACGTGTCCAACCATTGGAGATGTGAGCAGGACAGACGGAACAACTGATGGAAAAAGTGTGGACTTTATACCAGTTTTTAAATTGTGTTGATCGGCCACGTAAAACCATATATGCAATGTTTATTTTTTTCTTGAATACTATCGTTGTTTATATTTACTGCGGGAAGAAACGGTAAAAATGGCGTTTTATAAGGAAAACGCTCAAAAGCACTGTCTGCCTGTGAGCAAAGACAAATTTGATCCAGAACAGCTGATTGTTCTGTAAATAGTTTGAAATGTTTGCTTAAAAAAACGCCTTGACTGCATTTTTAGGTAAACAGCTGCAAAAAACTTTGTTGTTTGCAAAACTCTGTAACCTTTTTGAAGAAGTAACTATATAATTAATTGCCCAGCATTGGTCATTATTTACTGTATTTTGCAGACAGTTACAGACTCTCTCCCAGACCACAGACTCATAATACAAGTCAGAGCTTTATAAAAGAAAAAAAAAGAAAAAAAAGAAAGTTGTTTTCAAAATAGGAGTTAAAGTTATTTATAATAGTGTTAACATACTACACAGGTCATGAACAAGATTTTCTTTTTTTAAAATTTTCATTGTAAGTGGGCTAAAGCAGTTAATTAAAAGTAGTCTAACATAAATGTAAATGCTGTAATTTGATTATTTTAATAACATGTAACTTGGATGGATTCGATGCTGGTGTGACCACAGTGCACACGTCTGCTGTCGCTCACAGTGGTCCAAGGGACGCTCAGGGAGTTTGTGTGTTCGCTCAGACACATGAAAAATTAGAGGGAACATGTCAGGTGCCCAAACCACCTCAACTGGCTCCTTTGGACTACCAGCTCTACTTTGAGCCCTGCCTGGATGGTTAAACTGCTCCTCCTATCTCTAAGGGAGAAGCCAGCCACCCTTCAGAGGAAGCCCATTTCTGCCGCTTGTATCTGCAATCTCGTTCTTTCAGTCACTACTCACAGCTCGTAACCATAGGTGAGGGTAGGAACTGGTA